TCAACTCATATCAGACCAATTCACAAAATTAAAACGTGTAAAATGATGGTAAAATTACGATGTTCCCAAACGGTCTCCATTTCAAGCATTACGATCAATGTAGCTTAACCTTGGTGATCGGGCGAACAAATCTGCACTAGACGTCAACTTTCAACCGCGCAGTAATGAGATCCTTTGTTCAGCAGCACGCAAGCGCCGCCGCCAATGACGAGTCAGCGCGCAATCGCAGTATCCGCCGCAGCCAATCACAAGTCACCGCGGCGCACGAGATTTGAACTTCGCCACAACAGAGCCCGCGCAATACAAATTCAGCGGCCAGTGGCAGCTTTCCCGCCCAATTCACTCTTGCTTCGTCAACCGACCAATCACAAGCAAGTTGGTTTCCCGCATTCGCACACAAAGGAAATCTGCATATAAATATACCCGCAAGTCGCTAATCAATTCACTCTGAATGCAGCAGTCGACCAAGAAGCCCCTCACTCTCAAGCTCTCAACAAGGATCAAGTCAAATCAAGCCAAGCAAGCAGCTGAAGAAACATCCTAAGGAGCTCAGCAAGAAATTGGCGTTTTTTGGATCAAGACCGAAGTTCAGTTTCCCGTTATATTGGCACCAAGGTCAAGCATTAGCGGTCATCATTACACAGAACGAAGCAAATTCATCTTTTCAAGCATTCAAAATTATTCACATTCAAGCCATCTCTATTTCGGACTCATACAGTTTGTATACCACCTCCAACTTGGAGAAGCCAATTCTTCGGAATCTGGAATTAATAATAAGTGCAATAGCACACAGCTCTCAATATTCAAACCCTTCTGGTTTTCCTGCTCACGGCAGAAGCCGGTGTACTATACGCCTGGTAACCCTTCAGGTTTCCTATCCACGGATAGTAGCCGATTCACTCTGAGTCTGGTAAAAATAAAAACTCCAAGCAGGATCTCTTCCAGATCATTAAATCAATTTTGCAGTCACCTCAAATCTTTCTCTTCTCACTCTCATTTTCCGAGCCAAGGCAAATTGGGGGGTCGCTGCGGCTCTTCACTTGTCTCGCTTCAATACCTCATATCCTATTCCATCTTTTTCTTTCTTTCCTATCATTTCTTCAATTGGTCCCTCGGTAAAATTCACTTTCAACCTTTAGGTCTATTGTTGTTTTTTCATCATTTTTTGAGCCGTCACTCTTCACATGACATTTACTTACAAAACTGAATAATTAAACGGCATTGGCTGAGAATGATATTCCGGTGAGATATGGACAAAATCAGCCGTTTATAACCGACCAAAACATCCCTTAAAACAAGTCCGCGTTCCTCAGCATAGTGCTTTTGATTAGATGGGATTATACTGGATTTTATACTTTGAGGATAAGCTCAAAAACATTGAAACCCTGAGGAATTCATCATGACAAGTTATCACTTTACTCAAAACAGTCGTCTCAGGAGCAAGTCAAAGCTGTTCTTACCGAAGTATGGATTCAAATATATTTTCAGAGATGAATGGTACGCCACGCATTTATCTAGCCAAATCTCTCCATTTTGGTTTTGTCAAATCGGATTTTAGACTTTGACAAGTTCAAAAAGACTGATACTCTCAGGAAAGTAGCGGGACAAGTCCATCTTTAAAATTGACCGCGTTAAGGAGAAAGGAACCAAGCCACGTCAGCTATCGCCACATTTAACTGGCAATTTAAATTTTTACATGAAAAGGTCGTTCGGATTCGTGTGCAAATTTCAGTGAATTTTCTGCTTAGTTCGAAGCGAATTTCTTAAAATTTCAAAGGAATTGGCACAAACGTTCTCTCGTTAAAAATTAAATTGCCTCGTTTTTGGCAGTAGCTGATGCGGCTTGGTTCCTTCCTGCTAAACGCGGTCCTAACCACACGTTTCAGGAGCAACTTAAAGCTACTCAAACCAAAATATTGATTGAAATATAATTTTAGAGATGAATTGTATGTCACGCATTTACAAATATTTACCTACCCTGGTAAAAATTGGCGATAGAAGCTGCATTTCAAAATACCATAAGAGTTCTTACAGCCGACTAAAGAAGGCTATTGAAAATCAAATAGCTGCCTGTAGAAAGCGGAGCAAATCATATAGCCGGGCTATACGAAGCTATAAAAAAGTTTATACAGTCGGGCTATAGTTCCTATCGCCGGGCTTTACACTTTATCGCCATTGGCTACAAAAGGCTATAAGAAATTGTGTAAAAATTCGTGTGCTTTGGAAATCATTAAGTTTGATACGGAACTACCTTAATATTTACAGAACACACATAATATTTTCCTTTAAAACAATTTTTTTTTTATCAATTAAAATGAAAATTATCCATACAGAGTGTGCAAACATTTCAAAATCATGAGTCGAAAAACGCTGACTCCGCAAGATCAAATATTAGAGCCTAACACAAAGCGGAGCGGCGACGCACTGGCACCTACAAACCTAACAGGGATACTTCACGCATTGCGCAACGCGTGAAGTATCCCTGTTAGGTTTGTAGGCGCTAATGCGCGTTTCGCGCTCTCTGCCCGCCCGCCGCGCCGCAGCGTGCCACGGCGCTTGAAGCAACTATTTCACACCAGAGGTCAAACCAGAGGTATTGCACAGTATCATACGAAACTGAAGGCGCTCTAATATATTAGGAATGGCAGGCATCCTTCAAAAGTACGGAGCTTTCCTCGCAAAATAAATCAAGATACTCCGGCACAAAAAGAGAGCGGTGGTCCAAAAACTAACTAAGTCCTAGTATCCGTAATTAGAAACGTTTAGCTAAACTTTTCGTCTGGCTGTTGCTTAGTCGCCATCGGCTATAAAAGGCTATAAGAAATTGTACAGCTGGCTACAGAAGCTATTAGAAATCTTACAGCCGTCTGTAGGTCTATGGTATTTTGGAACACAGATTCTACTGCCAATTATTACCAGGGTACATGCCTTACAATTTCAGGATGGGACCAAAAAGATTTCGGCGGATGGGGGGGGAGGGGGGGGTGCTAGTTTCGACCTCAAGCGGCTTATATTCGGGCGTCAAAGCTTGTTTTTAAGGTGCATTTTGGACATGTCACCTGATGAAGTCAAAAACGCCAAAAGGAGCGGTCGCGATTATCAAGATGACCGCCCCAACTCAACCCGATTACCCGACCCGCGACGAGCCCTCCATCATGGTGGTCCCTCAACGACAACGACGGGATGGGCAAATATTTTAATAACTCCCACCTGACGTGTCCACCTTGAACTCAGCGCGTGCTGGGGCAGTAAAAAGACTCCCGAGTTCGAAACGTAGGCATATTAATCAAAAGGAACTATATCCATTGTAACGTGAGTCCTGCCATGCCCGTGTTCTTACGGATCTTAGGGCTCACGGCAGAACGAGTATAGTTTCTTTTGATTTAAATGCGTCCGAATTACTACTGGAGTGGCCGGGTTTTGTTTTTCGGCCTTTGTTCCGCCCATGAGCGGTGTCGCGAGTTCATCACTCGCGCAAATCCCGCCCGCTCTCGTGCTTGTTACTCGCGCGAATACTCAAAATCCACGCCCACGCGTCGTCAGTGGCGTGGCGTGAATTTCGATTTATCGATTGTTATGCCATTTAAACCTATGGAAAAGGATCGATAAACAGGGTGTTCGTAGCGAACACCTTAATAATCGATTCTTTACCGTAGGTTTAAATGGCATAGCAATTGATACATCGCAATTCACGCCACGCCACTCCACGCGCCCGATTTCTCGGCACTCGACACTGCCTAAGTGTCGTGCTGAGAAAAAACGACGTATGAACAACAAGAGGTTGAAAAATTTTGTGCGATTAAAATTTATTTTAAGGAATGTTATTGGTAATTGTCTGAGTTTGAAGATCCTCCTGATTAAATTGCTGATCAAACTCTCTACATAATTAAATCGGTTCCTGTTAGACGGGCATAAGTCCAAAAACTCATGAGTCCTAGTTTTTGTTGATCACGGAAGACGCTAGGCCTCATGAGGTTTTGGACTTACGCCCGTCTAACAGGAACCGATTTAATTGGAAAGAAAATTATATGCCCAAGTTCTTCAGGAAATGTGTTTTTTATCAGTTTTTTTCATCAAATTTAACACATTCTGATCGTTCATACGGCGTTTGTCAGCAGGGCAATGGACGTTGTTACTCGCGCGAATACTCAAAATCCACGCCCACGCGCCAGTGGCGTGGCGGGAATTGCGATACATCGATTGTTATGCCATTTACACCTATGGAAAAGGACCGATAAACAGGGTGTTCGCAGCGGCAGGCTCGGTTTCTACTGAACCCCGAATTTTTCCGTCTCAGAAACCAAATTTTGGTTCAACTAACCAAAATTTAGTTCCCATGACCAAGAACTTCGGTTATACCTGAACCGGAAGAGCTCGGTATTTCTTATGAACCGAAATTCAGTAGCTGTTCGATGATGTCTTTATTGATCTTCGACCTAGATTTGCACGTATTAATGCTAAAAGGAAGTATGTTGCATGCAAACCCTATGCACATAGTTCCTTTTAGCGTAAATTTTGTCTGAAAACTATTTCTAATAATGTCTTTTTACCATCTAGTATACCTTCAATTGGATTGCATTTTGCAAAAAGGAACCACTAGCATTGCAATGATGCGAAGATTGTGCAACTTCATCTTCTGCAATACAATTGCGGAAATCGTGAAAAACTATGAAATTTAGATGGTAATTTTTGTCTTAAATTTACAGCTTTTAGCGAGTAAAATAGAAACTAATATTGGATAATCGGGTTTTTCCTCCAAGACAAAAGAAGTCGCACAATCTTAGCAACATTGCAGTGTTAGTGGTTCCTTTTTGCAAAATGCAATCCAATTGTCCGAGAATTTCACCAAAATTTGTCGGAGAAATCAGGGAAATGTCAGGGAATTTAATTTTCTAGATTCTGTGGCAACCCTGGTCGAGAACATGATTTTGAAATGGGTGTATCGTATTGTTAAGCTATCGTTGAGTGTAATTAATGGCGTGCGTTTGTTTGTTTTTCAGCATGCGTGACGCGTCGTACAACGAGGACGATGGAAGTTTGCGAATGTACATCCGCGGACGGCCGGTCGTGCTCCTGGCCCCGTCGGACGTCGCCGAGAACTACAACATCTCCAAAGTGGCGCCCCCTCCGCAGTCCAAGCTCAAACTCGACTGGGTGTATCCTTTCTTCCAACCACTCATTCTTTATAACAGGTCAAATGGTAGCACAAGGTGACGATAGGCTGAGGAAACCTCCGGGCTCATAATCGAGATTGATAGACAAAGATACAGACACAGAAGACCTAAGAACAGGGTGTCTATTTGTCCGGAATGGAGATGTTGCATGTGTAAGGAATTTGCGATTTGACTGTTGATTCTTATGTAAAAGTTCGGGAGAAACACGATGGTGCCACTGGTTTTCTCTGAAATCAACTCCCAAGCTCAAAAAAAGCTCTCAAGTCGAGGCCAAAATGGAGGGGATATCCCACCCTACCCTGAGAGTCCACCTCTACATCAAGACAAACTCCCCGTGCACTGTAAAACTGAAAACACGGCATCACTGCTAATGTATTTGCTCCCTATCTTTGCATGGAGAGTTCGTCTTGATGTAGAGGTGGACTCTCAGGATAGCGAGGGATATCCCCTCCATTTTAGCCTCAACTTGAGAGCTTTTTTTGAGTCTGGGAGTTGATTTCAGAGAAAACCAGTGGCACCATCATGTTTCTCGCAAACTTTTACATATGAATCAACAGTCAAATCGCAAATTCCTCTTACATGCAACATCTCCATTTCCAGAAAGTCCGGAAATAATACCGATTTTTTAAGGGGGGTCCGGAAGTACTGAAAAAGTGCAGAATCCCGCAAGAAGGTCCGGAATTTTTTTCATTTTTTTGTCACCTTTGTTCCAATTTGAGCGAGGAATTCAAATTTTTGAAATTTTTCGAATTTCGTGAGATGGTGGCACTGAAAAAGCACTGAATTTTTCTGTGGAGGAGGTACTGCATTTCTTAGGAATGTACTGAAAAAGTACTGTAAAGGTACTGATTTTTGGCCAACCTGTTTAAGTAGACACTCTGAGGAAGTATCTCAAGATCTCATTTCAGCTGAATCATAGGGGGAAACCTCTAAAAATCCCAAAGAATGCCCTGATCAAAATTGCTCCTTTCAACACATAGACATTTTTTACTGGATGATTAGTCAAGAAAAGCAGTGAAAAGTCTGGAAATGTTACCATATACGAACCTTTTTTCCTCAAAAGTATTTCAGCATTTTGTCAGTTATTCCTTTTCATAATTTTTTAACCTAATTTTCTTATGATAGAAATTATATGCGGATATGTATTTCTCTAGAATCCTTGGTTAAAAATATTTTTTTGCACACCTCCTTCGTAGAATTTGTTGAAAAAATTTCCTTAACTATTGCAACAGGTATGGCTACCGAGGCAAAGACTGTAGGTCAAACTTGTTCCTTTTACCAACAGGTGAAATAGTTTACTTTGTAGCAGCAGTAGCAATTTTATATAATGTTGAAGAACAAAGCCAGCGACATTACTTGGGTCATACAGATGATATAAAGTGGTAAGTTCCAGAACAACTTTGTTGAGCATAATTCAGTAAATAAAAAATAAGTTGAGCATAATAAAATAATTTTAAAGTCTCTAATTTTTGTCAAAAAATCTGAAAAGCTCTACTTAGCTGTTTCACCATTTATATCTTGCTCTCTATATTTTTAGCCAATTGTTTATTCAAAACAGGAATAAATAAAGAAATAGATACTTAAAACCAGCAGATTTGGAAGCAAATAAATGAATCCTTATTGATTTTTTCTTTTTAATTTAATAAAATTTAATTTGATTTTATTAGATTTTATTTTATTTTTCAGCCTAACCATCCATCCAAATAAGATGTTAATTGCCACCGGTCAGACTGCAGGTCATGATGCCAGAGAAGGAAGGGTAAGTTCATTATTTCTTACCAAATAGCCTTCAGGAAAACACTCAAACTCTGACCCTCCTGTAAGCTCTGGAATAGCGAAGTTCAAAACTCAAATATGAATGCTTGTCCGAAAGATCACCTCTCAAGGACAGCTTAGTGTAATTGATCCATTCTGACTGGCCACATTGTATGGAATTGCTTGTTTTGATAGGAGGTGACAAAATTGCCCCACTACCATATATGAAGCAAGCAGGTCAACAAACTTGTCTTCCCTTTTTGGGGTCCTCTGGTGATGGACTTGTGCAATAAATCACAGAAGAATGCCCTTTTGATGGCTCAGACTGATAATGAAGTAGTTTGTATTAGTATTAAATCATAAGTTGAGGCTGTTCTTTCTACATATTCTACCTCCAAGTACAAATTTTGCATTGGGGCACAAGAATGGGTTATTTAAGCTGTGGAGGAAATGGAGAAATCTCTGTTGCCGTTATCACAAAATTTGGGGAAAAATAGTAAGCTCATCTCAATAAATACTTCAGAAGGACAAAATGAAAAAAATGACTAAAGTGGCCCATTCCAAAGAACTAGACACTTAACAGTGTCAGAAATAACTAATAACTCTCTTGATATTTGCTGAAAACTTTTCTTTCTTTCTTGGCTGGCCATGGACATGAATTCTTAACCAGATTTGGTTTAAAAATGCTGCAAGAGGATGATCCGGAAACGAAGAGATACTAGATCACCAAACATGTTCAAGAAACTCAATCCATTTATTCTTTTTTTTAATTTTCTTTTTACAGCCTCATGTCAGGATTTGGAACTCTGTTAGTCTTGTCACCGTCTCCGTGATTGGCATAGGCGAGTTCGACCGATCTATCTGTTGCCTCTCCTTTTCAAAATCGGTGAGTAAAAGTGTGCATCAATGGTTGAGAAATGGGTGATAGGCAGAGCTCAGGAGGACTGTACAAGAGCAGACGGAATGATGCACTCAAAACTCATGCCTCCTGGATACTCTAGAAAGTTTACAAGAAATCTGCTGAAACTTGATAGAAGCAGGATAAAAATACTGATCGGTTTATCAAGAGGGCATGGCCACCTCAAGCAGCACCTGTGGAATATGAGGGTCTGGAAGACTGAACCAATTTGCAGGATTTGTGAGGTTGAGGGAGAAACAAGAACTCACTTAATTTTTTATTATAAGGCGCCAAAGGAGAAGACATGAAATACTGGGTTCTACTGATTGGTACGATTACTCTGATAACAAGGAACCTGCTAGTGTTCTGTTGCACCTTCCTAGTGAGACAGAGTTTCCTGGCTTGAATTAGCTGCGGAGAATTTATTTGTCTTCATTGTCCCCTCAGATTGTGTAGTTCCTGTGTTGTGTGTGATCTTTATTCTAATTTCTTGTTAAACAATTTTCATACCATTATTTGTTTTTGTCCTGTTGTACCTAATTGTAAGTGCACTTCTTTCAGGATGGTGGAACTCTTCTTTGTGCTGTAGATGAAGCAAATGATCACAATATTTCTGTTTGGGAATGGCAGAGAGGAGATAAAGGACACAAAGTCACTGAGACGAAAGTAAGTTCGAAGACACATTATTAATATGTAAATCTAAATTTTACATCATTCTATAGCATTTCATATCCTTATTCAATCCCCTTAATGATAGTTTGAGAAGTAATTATTAAAGCTTAAATAAGCTTGAATGAGCTTTAACTTTTTCAAAATGAACTATTACTGCAGGATGTAAGTCATAACTCAATATTTGAAATTTATAATTTAAATCTTACATAAAGGATTATGCATACAGAACAAAAAATTTTGGTGTTGGCTGAATTTCTACATAACCTCTTATGGTGTTCCATGTGACCTTCTGAGTACAACAAGCTTTTCAAGTGGAACTCTTGATGTGCCAATTTCAAGGAAAGTGGGACTGTAAAGTGAATTTTTAGCCCTCTTACATGCATTTTCGAATGGAGGTGTGAGACTTAATGTTTGTGAGTGGACACAAGGCCGCAAACTCTTATGACTCAGAGGCATTTGATTATTTTCATCTGTCATCTTTGCGGCCTGTGAGGGAATAAAATATCCCTATCACCAATAAAATTGTGCGACATCCCTGCCAAATATTGCATGTGAAAAGCCCGAAAAATTCACTCTTTAACCCTGCTTTATTTTCTTTGTTGAAAGTTTGATTTTAAAAACTCTTCGTGTTCTGGAGGCTGTGAGAATGATCCACTGAAAAAAGATTGAAATTTAGCTCTCTCTAAATTTCTTGGGATTGCTAGTGTAGACCCTTCTCAGAGTAGTTTCAAATTCTTCTCTCTTACTCTCTTTTTTTTTCTTAGAATTTTCAACCATTTCTTTTTCATATTGTGACCTATAATCTCATGAATTTTCCAATTTCAGTGCTCAGTAGATACAGTTATTGCGTGTGAATTCCATCCAATCGACAGAAATGTAATAGTTACCTGCGGAAAATCGCACATCAACTTTTGGACATTGGATGCTGGTGGCACTTTGTATAAGAGGCAGGGCATTTTTGAGGGTAACCGTGACAGGCCGAAGTATGTGACATGTCTTGCATTCACCCAAACTGGAGAAACTTTGTCTGGTGATTCCAACGGAAATGTTGTTGTTTGGCAAAGAGGTTTGTAGCATGAGTTCTTGCAATTTTATTTCTTGCTCAATAATTTGATTCAAAACAATGGTGAAAATCATCAAAAAAGGATGTATACTTGGAATTAGATAAATTTGTCCAACAAAAAGTCTCAGAGAACTTTTAACAACAAAAACTGTTAATAGACTGTCATTAATGTACTATTATTAACTGATAAAATAATTATTTGCACATTTAGAAAAGAAGTTCCTGAAAAAATTAGGATCATACAACTGTAAATAAATTAAATCTAATCTTTAAACGAGCTTTTATGTCAGGATTTTCAGAATGTCATAAAATATAGAATTGTCAAATCGTTGACAGTTAAAATATTTGAAGAGCATTTGGAGAGTTAAATACAAAAGAAGTTTGTTGATTTGATCAAATCTTACAATGAAAACCTTGATAACTCTTGGGCCTGTTGCAAACTTCTACTAGAGCAAAAATAAGAGTTGTTTCTTATAGGTAATGTCTCAAAAATCACAATGAGCGCATCGGAAAAGTCTGAAATGCACTCATAACTCACAATCTGCGTGAGAAATTTGCGTTTTTTTGAGCCTCCTGCTTCAAAAAGGATACTACAGCACAGGTGAACATTTTGTTAGAGGAGTCATTCTATCGTCGGCAATATTCATCATGGCCGACGCTTCCACAGTTCCGCGCGTAATTTGAGGAGAGATCAAGGTCAATCAAGGTGGGCGAGGAAAATATGAATGCCAATAGTTATCTGGTTTTTCCTGGTCAGGTGTTATCTCATCCCATTACACGTGTGTTGGCGGATTGGCGTCAGCTATGATGAATATTGCCGACGATGGAACAACTCCTCTAACGAAATGTTCACCTGTGCCGTAGTATCCTTTTTGAAGCAGGAAGCTCAAAAAAACGCAAATTTCTTATGCAGATTGTGAAGTTATGAGTGCTTTTCAGAGTTTGCCGATGTGCTCATCGTGATTTTTGAGACATTTTCTGTAAGAAACAACTCTTATTTTTGCTCTGGCAAAAGTTTGCAACAGGCTCATTTCCTAAACCATCAAATTTGAATGTCTGGCGAATCTCTGTGCCTGTGACTTACATATATTTCCTAAATCTCCGTGTATTTACTCTCGTGTCAAAGTCTAATTATCTATGTCACTATATGTTATTTTTGTTGTAGGATCCAACACAATTGCTAAAATTGTCAGAAATGTACATGAAGGATCTATCTTTACCATTTGTGTGTCAAAAGAAGGCAGTATTATTACTGGAGGTGGGAAAGATGGTCGATTATTCCAATTCGATTCAAATCTACAACCAACTGGATATGAAGCACGGGTAAGCATTCTCAAAGCATATCTTTAGCTTTCTAAACATTGTGTGTTCCAGAGATCCATTATTTTTCCTAAAAAGCTCGTGGCCTTGAGCAATGAAAGAAAAACTTTTTGATATTTTTTATTTCGGAGAACGACAAGTTTGAGTGAAAAAGTGATAGAACTTTCAGTCTGGAGGTTTTCTATCAAGCAAGGTATCTTTTACAATTAAAATCTTTGCCAAAATTTCAATTGTTTTTTGCCAAGTAGAAAAAATAAATTGAAGTAGAAGATCAATTGCCCATTCGCCAGTAATGGCTTATTATGTTAATAATTCAGCTAAGTTATTTTAAATGTTATTTGTTGTAAGCACAGTCCTAATTTTTTGAGTAATCATCAAAGTGACCAATCTAAAATGTCTTTCTGTCTCATTTCATTTCAGATTGCAGAACATTTGGGCGGTATCAGAACTGTTTCAGAAGGTCGCGGCTCACAACTGCTCGTTGGCTCTACCCGAAATTGTATCCTTATCGGCTCGCTCAGCACCGGATTCAGTCCTGCTGTCCTAGGGCACACAGATGAACTATGGGCACTATGCGCTCACCCCACAACTGCTCAATTTTTAACTGCTGGCTTTGATAAAATAGTTCAGCTTTGGGATTCCCTATCGCACACCGTTGTCTGGAGTAAAGATATAGCTGTAAGTTAAATCATTTTTTGATTTGTTTCTCCAACAGTGCACAAAAAATTTTTGGATCGGGCATCAAGGTCCATGATGTCTTGAGAAACTCTTGAATACACTTGGAATGATCTGTCATGTGCAATTTGTTTTTACATGGCAGTTTGGCACATTTGACATCGTAAAAAAATTCTGATAAAATTCCACATTTTTGTTGGAATTCTTATAAATCTGTGGCTGAATATTTTCAATACTTAATCAGTGCTATATAATGTACCTAACTAATTATTAGATTTAGACTTAGACTTGGATAAGACCTAAACCAAAAATATGCAAAATTCAGTGTAATGAAGGCAGAATGCTTTTCAGAAAATAACCTTGCATTCAGTAGAGTAATCAACCTCCGTATCAAATGCGACATTTTTTTCCAAAAAGAATCCTGCCTTCATTTTTCTGAACTTGGCAATTTTTTAAGTTGAGAATGATTCTCTAAACTCGTGTGCAGGGGCTATTGTCCTTTTTTTAGCTGGACACTCTAAACCTGCCAAGATTTACTTAATCGATGCAACATATTACACGGAGCACCTTGTAGTTGGTCGGCCATTTTAATATTAAATTCGATTTCAAAAGAGATTTTAAGCTAAAAAGGTTAAAATCTTAACAGACGTGTCTAATTGGTTTCATTTCTCATAGGAACAAGCTCAGTCAGCCTGTTTTTCACCCGATGGCAGCATCTTGATTATCGGCTGTGTCTCTGGGCGATGGATCGTAATGGACTCAGAAACAAGGGAACCGTACTTTGTTCATAATGACGGAGTTGAACCTATTCAGGTCTGTTTTTTCTCTTTCTCTGTTCGCCTTGTATTCTCTTGTTGAGAATTTTTAGCATTTATAGCCTACATTAAAATTTGTTTGTCCAAATTTTCCATATATCCAAGAAACAGAAGTCTAGCTTCGGTCAAAACAATTAAAAAATTATCTTACGCGTAGAAAAGTATTTTTTCCTGAAGCATCATAAGTTTTTTCAAAATTGCTGATTTTACAAGGTACGTCTGGTTCTTTCTTTCTTTTCTTTTTTTTTTTTTTTTTTTTTTTTTTTTTTTTTTTTTGTAATCTGGAAGTCACAATTGATTGTTGTGACTTCCAGATTACAAGCATCAGAAGTGAATCAATTCGAAAATTTGATGTGGAATTAATGAGAAAGTACATATTTTGGAACTTTTTTTCCTTTTGTTTTCATAGGCCTTTGATCAGACTATGAATGTTTTTAGTAATAGCAATCTATAAAATGATCAATCAAAGAACTGTACACTAAAACTTCATTTATGTGTGTCCCCATAAAAGATATTTCATTATTATAATTTGAAAACAATTTTTATGTAATTTTATGTCACTTCCTTTGTTTGCTGCCACTTCAGTGAATGACATCGCATTTTAGATGATATTTTAATTAGTTACCATTTGGTAAATACTTAGGTTATTCACTCCAGGATGTTAGCAACTAATCAGTAAAACCTTTCTCTAAAAACCTTACTGGTTGTGATGTATTCTTGTCCCTTAATAAATGAATGTCATTTTTCTGAATGGGTTATGCGTTTCTGATGGATGATGTTTAACTTTTTGTCTCCAGGTCATTAAATTTTCTCCAGATGGCAAATGTTTAGCTTTAGGATCTAGAGATAATTTTGTCTACGTCTTTCAAGTTAGTGGAGACTATCGAAAGTACAGCCGTGTTGGTCGTTGCGCAGTGAGTATTACTCTTTTTTAGCTCAGCTTTATTTTTAAACTCTCTGCCTAGCTTTAATTTTGAAGCTTATGAGTTGATGAATCAGAACCTTTCTTTTTCCTTTATTTCATCATATGTACATATCAAATAGTCTGTGGCAAGGTCCATATTATGACAACCTGCACATCGGTGAGGCAAATGAAGAGTTAATTTCACTTTATTTAAGTATGGATCAACGTTGATTATGATATCTATTCAAAACAATTTGATTTTTTTTACTTTGATTGCCACTTGGCATACCGTAAAACCACTCATATGAATTATTATGTAACCATTATTATTGTTTTGCTCCTCTTTTTATTTATTTCACAACTCATGATCTTATTTTCATTGAATCCTTTATGGTAAATGAACTCCAGGAATTCCGATCTCCATCTGCCTCCTTGTATCATCCTTTTCATTTCTTGGCTTAAGACTTTAGAAGCACGCGTTACTTGATTTTTCATCACTGAAATTAATTTCTTTTGAATTAATCATTTTTTTCCTGGTTAGATTTAAAAGTTTTTGATCCAACGCAAATAAAACATTCTTCATTGGAAAACCATTATGAATATTTGAAATCCTATACAAAACATACGCTCAATCTCAGTTTGATGATGGATGCTCTAAAGCCAAACCAATACAACTCATCTTAGTGTAAAGACTTCAATGAGATTTAGCTATTTCATCAGAATCTGTAGGAAATTTAATGCAGTTTCCACTCAATTCATAATTATTCCAGTCTTTACCATAAGATTTACTCATCTAGTCTATTTTTTTCAAATGATCCCTTTCAAAATTTACAATTTAATTGTAATCTTGTACAATATCAAATTGGTGCAAAGATATGATTCCATTATTTACTGAACTGGGGAAATAAAGGTTTCTCGGGGGCTAATAAAGTAATGGCCTCTTTGGAGAAAAAGAAAAGGAAGAAGAGAAAGAGAGAAAACTATAGGTTGCCAATATTTCTCGTAAACCTTAAATGTAATGCCTTAGATACAATTAATTTTTCCCCAGTATTCATTTCTGTTGTGAATGTTTTTGATTGGCTGAAAGTATCCCCTGCAACCATTAGTCTTTAGTCTGCTTTTATGAGAGGTCACATCATTCACAAAGACTCGAGGGACCTGAAATTTCGTTGGACTCTCTAAAATGAAAATATAAATTCACAGATTTTAGTCTTCAAGTCTTAATAGATAATGAACAATTGAATTACATTGAGTGAAAGTTAATGCTCATCAAAGGCAAAATATTCTTAATTCATGCTTTTTTAGGAGGTCAAATATAAGATCAGTCACATCAAACTGAACCCAAAAAATAATCGCGTTCCTTAATATGGTAGTAGCAAGGAATTTTTGTAGGGTTGGCCCAACATAGGACTTTGTGAAAAAACCAGAAAGCTTGTTAAAAAGTTTAAAAAATCATTTCTGAGGGGAGAAAAAGCTAATTCAAATCCAACCAAATAAAAGTGGACAGGCGAGTTGACGCAGTGAGCAAGTGAGTTTCCCGCTGCTAGCTACATCGTTGGAGTGCATTAAAACTATCATTGCGAACAGGTCCCATTTTTGTCATTTTTATAGTAAAGTTTCTTTGCCATTTAGGGGGAATAAAAAGAAATTTAAAAAAAAAAACATTATAAAAATTCCCAGAAGCCTAGGATCTCCATACCTTCAACATATGAATCAAAGAAATGGGTGGCACTGACCGATTGTTTGATATATTTAAAAATGTCACCCATTTTAGTTTTATTATCATCAGATGCAACACGTAACAAGTGCACAAAGAATATCATGTAAAAAATCTTAAAGCAATGATGTAAGCAAAAACGTATAGGCAATTTTTGTTTGTTTTTTTGATAATTTTGAAGAACACGACCACTCTCATACATGATCTGTTACTCCTTTTGTCCACCCAGGGGGTGAAGTTAGCCTCATTTTAAAGCTGTCAGCTTTACCTCCGAAGTTATGTAATTCAAATCATAAATTTAATTCATATATATAAAAATCATGAGATATAAATTTAGTACAAAAGAACTGAACTGTTTTTTCCGATCAAGCATCAGAAGGAAAATGCATTTTGGCTGCACGTTGGTTTCGAAAACTGCCTTCAGCCTTCTCTCTGAGAAAGTGTTTTAACTTGAATTTATATTCTTAAAAAATGTATCCTTTATTTACATTTACGCTGCTTGACGCAGATTGAAAGGAGACGAAGGAAAATTTCGCCATCTTTATTGTTGTTGTTGGTAATTACAATTTTCATACTTCACAAGCTGTTTTAATCATATTGTCATGTTTTAAGTCATTCTCCTTAGTGTTCTAATTTTCACTTTCTTCTCTTTTGCAATTAGTTTTTTGTCTCTGGAGGCTTTAGTTGTCGTCACATTTTCAGTTATTTTTTTTCTTTCGTCTGCATGTAAGAGATTTATGGAGAATTTTTTATAGTCATAGTTAGTATAGAGATCGTTCGCTACAAAATCTAGTGCTGCTGTTGAGACGTAGCATGAAGCTTCAATGCCTTTAAATCTTCAGATACTGATGATATAACCATCTTGAATGAATGGTTTTTCCAGAGTATGACTGAGGTTTTTAGAAATTTCCTTTAAATTTCATTTCCTTTCATGCAGAAAAAATTGTTCTGTTCACTCCAGAAATTTAACCATCATGTAACATCATCAATTATCACCAGTATTATCATTTATACTAGCCAACCTCAATGTTTTAAATATTTCAGGCACTGATGTTTTAGCGGTCAAAATATTTACCTCATTTATTGATGCATGTATGTTTATATGTCCGTATGTCATGTAAATTTTCCTCTAATGTAAATGAATAAAGTTAAGTCGGGTTTGAATTTTTCGGGTCTAGCTATTAAGGATTGGAAGGAAGCAAGAACCTTCATTTTAACAATTTAAAAATGTCAGATCATCCCAATTTCTCGCTTATAAATCATGTAAAGGTGTATTCGCGTTGGTGTAAAGTTCTGTCAGATAGATTATGCTCTTGCAGGGGCAAATTGTTAAGTGGAAATCTTTGTCCAAAAAATGGAAAAAAAAAAAAATTGGAAAATACCCAGTAGTTGTACCAAAGGGTGACAATTCTTTCAAGAAAGTGTTTCCACAATTTAATATAATTATCAGATTGGGACTGAGAGGCATTTTAATCAGTCTCATCTCCTCAACATCTCTAAGAAAAATAAAAATTTCTCCTTGGTTAGTTTTTGAGAATTTTTGAAAATGTGTTTTTACAAATGAAATAATTCATTTAGTTTCAAATTTTGTTTGCTGATTCAGTGTGCTATATGTTTTGCCGTATTTTTTATCTTTTACTTTAGTTACCGTTTGCAACGTAAACATGTCATTGTGTTTGAAATACATAAGATAAATGGGTTGCTCCCTTGGTCATGATTGTGTCAACTAGTTAAAGAGAATTAGAGTAGAATCCATGTTTGAACATTCGTCAGGCACCAGTATGCTGAAACTTTCTTCTTCTTTTTCTAAAAAAAAAGTTATAACATTTAAAGGAAAATTTTAAGTATTTTGTACATGGTAAATAGTATACACTATTAAAAAGAAGAAAAAAATTGGTTTCTTGCTAATTTTAAGGCAAGCACAGGTCTAAACATACCAACCAAATGAGCACAAATAAAAATGAGCCAATATATGTATATTTGGCTAAAAGCTCAAGCTAAGGCCTTTAACGTAGAAATCTTGAAACAAAATTCCTTTATGGGCGAACACTCAATATTTTAAGGTCTTCTCATTTAAAGAGGATTCAGCTTTTTATACCGAGGCTGTATTTTTCTTTTAGCAACATGAGTGTATATGGAAAATTGCTATGACACTGCAAAAGTAAGCATTACATTATCTGTCACCAATGTTTGTTTTGCGAGTTCTTGCCCATTGAAACCTGAGATTTAGTTTTAAGGTTGACGATGTTGAATTTTTGTTGCAGGGTCACTCAAGTTTCATCACTCACCTCGATTGGTCAGGAGATAGTCAATATATCCGAAGCAACTCTGGGGATTACGAAATACTTTTCTGTAAGTTACTTATTCTTTTCTAGTTGCTTTTACCCGTCCAATAAAAACCATGAGACAAAGTATCAAATTTTCAGATCCTAAATTAATTGAAATATCTACCTTTCTCTGATTTTAAATGCTCAAAACTCTCTCCAATTTATTTTCCCCTCAATTTTCCTTCTTTTGCAAATTGCTTCACACAAACAAGTTAATACTGTTGCTTAATAAAGTTACGCAAATGTTTAATTTTTCAATAAGTTAAGTAAATTTTCCTACAGGATATCTTACATGTGTGATGTTAGTCTATGTTTTTTGTAATTTTAAAAAGTCAAAGGTACATGTATTACGTTATTTTGTCAATACATTATACTTTCATCATTACCCATATCACAAGCATCGATTTTTTAATATAATAATATCGCAATAAATGAGAAAACTCTAGTGAATGAAAGTTTGTGACTGCATTTCAAATATCTCACTCTAATTTTTCTTTTAAATGAATTCGGTAATCAAGTATTTTCCTGAATGTACTCATGTCATTTCATAATAATTTCAGGGAATGCCTCAACATGCAGACAAATACCTCAAACATCACAGATGAGGGATGTTGTCTGGGCTAGTAATTCATGCGTTCTATCTTTTCCGACCATTGGAATTTGGCCAGATGACGCAGATGGCACTGATGTCAACGCATGTGAACGCTCTCACAGTGCACGCCTTCTTGCCACAGCTGACGATTTTGGCAAAGTCAAACTGTATGCCTACCCTTGTTCTCAGCCCAAAGTAAGTACTTTTTTCAGCTTTGTATTGTATTAATACTAATGGTTCTTCTCCTTCTTTTTTATCACCAGAGTGTCAGAGAAATTAAGGAAAATCCAGGAAATCTTACAATGAATACTGGAAAGTAGAAAAACTTTAAAACTTGATACCTGAACCACGCTCGCACTGAGTCTCATTTTGGTTCGGAGTTCAATCCTCTGAGTGACACTTTGAAAAGCTAACAGAGGAGTAATTTTCAAGAATGAATCAATGACTATTGCCTCGTAAAGGCAAAAGCTATGTAGCAGTGCAATGTAGTAGCCAATCTTGTCCCTAGATCATTTAAAATCACCTCAAACATACGATCGTTAGTCTTCAGAAAAATTAAAACGTAAGAATGAAAACTAAAATGTTGCAATAGAGTGGACAGGTTTCGAAGAAAGTCATTCATTCATGGATGCAATAAGATCAAATTGATATACTTATTTGCTGGTCTAATGGTCAATCAATTTTCCTTTTTTTTTTCAAACAAAACTAATTTATTCTCATCAACATTTTGATCTAGTAACAAACGGCTGTGCGTGTCTTAATCTTCAAATTATTTTTTTTTTCCAGTCTTTGTGCCACACTTACAGTGCTCATAGCAGTCACGTGACAAATGTTGCATTCCTCCATGATGATACACGACTGATTTCAACCGGTGGTAAAGACATGAGCGTGATGCAGTGGCAAGTTGTGTAAACTGAAGCAAAAAATCAAAATCTGACGGACGTATAGGTCCTCAATTGTTATTGTTTACTAGTTAATTACTTTTTGTTATTTACGTATGTTTTCCAGTCTCAACTATGGCCTATTCTCACTTTCAATTGATCTGAGCACACATGTTTGGTTCTCAAGCTCTATTCAGGTTAATCTCAGTGCTTCGTATTTGCATATGTATATTGAGTATACTTGCAAGGTATTTTCTTATTATACTCTTAATTTTATTGTCTCAATTTTCTTCTGTTTGAGTATCTAAACAAATTTTAAGACAAACAACACCTCTAGGCTAGCCTAATATTTAATTCAAATTATTTAATTTTAGTACTTCTTGGTCGTTAAAGACACACATTGGATTCTCATTCCTCTTTCGTTTTTGAACCTTTAACCTATTTTGCAATGAGATCAGAAGGCTGATTATTGAAATTGATAGATAAAGCGATAGACAAAAAAGATGACAGGAAAATAGAAGGATCCTATTTGTTTAAAGGGGTGGTTATTATAGACTAAGAGAGTAAACAATGTACTATGTACATCGTAATGTACAATGTAACTATGGGGTCTCTCATGTGTTGCCATTAGTTAGTCCATTACTTACCTCCTTAGTGCATTGTAATCACCTGCTTCCACCAATAGGATCACTCTCTTTTCTCTCCGTCTTCTTAGTCTATTCTTTTGTCTATTAATTTCCTTAACAGCTCGCAATAGTATAAATAATACATATTGATCATTTCTATAGATTTCTTCAGTCATTCACAAATTTAATTGTTCTTTCATTTCGTATTTTTTTTTAAACTACATTTAAATCCAAGTATAAAACTGCTTTTAATTATAAATTCCCTTCCACATGTAGTTAATACTGTTATTTTTTTGAAAGATGAAAACTTGTCTATGTTTTCAAGGTTTTAAAAAACAACCTCAGAAGAAGGCTGAGGTTGAGACACTTGAGGATAGTCTCAATTCTTGAGCTACTATTTTATCCATATTTTTAACTGAATGAATAATTCTTCCCGTCTTGCATATTTAGATGCATAAAATTTCACACTCAGTATTACATTCTTGTATTATGTTCAGTGTAGTCTAATCTCTCTTTGAGGCATTTTTTATTTTTAATGAAAGTCTTGTAGGTGTACATTTTTAAATAATTTTGTACTTTGGATGTACATTTCGTAGTTCTCTAAGATTATTTATTTTAAATGTTATTTATTCAATATTTTTCACAATAAATTCTGAGCTGTATTAAAATTTCCATCCTTGAATTTTTTTTTAGTAAAACTTTCACCATGAGATCACATATAGAGCCTGACCTACATATCATCAATGAATAAGTTCCTGGGGAATTCTATCCAAACTAAAAACTGCCTCTCCCTACAAAAATATGTTCATAAAAGTACTGAAAGCTTTGAAAGCTTGGCCTTAGCCTCAATGTACTGGGTTGTAAACAAAAACTTAAAGGTGGAATCAGCTGGAATTATACCAAGTGACTGAAAAAACTATTAGGGCTGTGCAAATATTCGCAATGGACCCCCAGACAAGGTACGAATTTCAGCATTCTGATACATGTTTCATAACTAAAATTTTACGTAGAACACGATGCTCACAACAAAAATTACCGAAATTAATTCCTTACGAAGATATTTTATGATTCTTGATGCGCGAATTCAAATCATCTGCTCACAAAAACTCAATGCTCAACGTGATTCACATCGCACGCTAAACGTTAGCATGACAGTCGCTGCAATATAAAAATCTGGCAACCTCAATCTTGACGCTTTGGCTCAGCTGTAGCAAATTGCTAATAGTTTGAACAACACATGGTGGGAAATGAACATTGCTCGATTGAGAAGCTTGCTAAAACCATTGTAGTGCGCGATTTGACTCAAGTAGAGCTTTACCAACTTTGCCGAGTTTACAAACAGCGCACACGATTGCGATTGCCCAGCGTATCTTGGTTGCTCCAAGAGTACCACACATCAAAAGTAAAATAACCAATATGGAAAGAGTGAAAAGTTCTTAAACACATGTTTTTCAACACTAAAAGAGGAAACCCCTCTCCTATCCTCTATTTTCTTAGATTGACATATAAAACAGGATTTATCGTTGAACAAGCCTGGAGCGACCTGCGGCCCGATCAAGAGCTCCGGCCCGGAGCTAGCTCCGACCATGGAGCCTAATTTTCGATCCGGATTGGAGCTACCTCCATCCTAGGAGCCCGATTTGGAGCTGACTCTGGACTCCTGGTTTCATCACATTGCTGAAATTCGTATAAAATTGCCTAGGTCATTGATTTGCCTTCAATTGGCCGGATATGCAAAATGACTGTCGTGACGCACGAATAGTGGTATCAGAATTTCGCATTAAGATTACATAGTGGGTTGAAGGCGCTCTTCTGTATCGTACCTGTGTGGCCTTGTACAACGATGTTGACCAAAAATATTCAGACTTTCGGAGTCCTCAATCGAGCAGTACTTTTGGCGGCCACCAGCTTGGCCTCCTTAGGGGCCAGGAGGGAGCCCCCGGCTTTAGCTGCTTAGTTCCCAGGGGGGCGGCCCCCGGCTTTGGCTCCTTAGTGTTCAGGGGCTGGCCCCCGGAGTGTTGGGCCTTTTGGATGACTCTGCTTTGATTCGTACCCCGTTCCCTGAAGTCAATGATTCGCCTTCAAATGGCCGGGTATGCAAAATGACTGCTGTGACGCACGAATAGTCGTATCAGAATTTCGCATTAAGTATACGGATTGATTTGAAGGCGCTCTTCTGTATCCATGGTGAGTGGCCTTGTACAAGGATGGTGATATAAAAGTTCATAATTTTCGGTTTCAACCGAGCCGCATATTCGAAAAATCCCGAAGAATATTATTTTGAAAAAATAATAAGATTTTTTTTGGTTTCTCCGTCTGTTTTGAAAGAAGAGAGCGCAGTCGGCTGGATCACATTGTGTATTTTAAGTCCCTTGGTTCGGTCATTGTTTTCTGAAGCGAACTTGAAACAGTCGCCGTTTACAAGATCGCCACGTACTCAAAAGCGGTTGTGAATTTAAAAAGTTTCGCACGGATAAAATGAGCTTTCTTTGATTAACTGTGTGAAGATTCAAAATTGAAGAAAAGGTACTTTGTCTACTGGTCCATTATGAAAGCGTAAAGCATGGATGGATGGAGCACCAATGACCAACTAAATCTTATCTGATAAGGCATTTTAAGTTAAAAACCCTATTTTCAGTCTTTAAATGATCCAAATCCACCAACAAGTCTAAACACTAATTGCAAAAATGCGTATCTCTTGATGAAGTGTCGATTCTTAGTGCCAAAAACGCGAATCTCGGCATTTCTGCCGTATTTTCTAACAGTTCAAGAAATTATTGAAACTGCTGATGGAGTTTGAAAAAACATCTTATTCTTGCTATCCTCAAGAATTATTACCCTTTTACCGACAATAAAGAGGAATCCAGACAGTTGTTTTACTCTCCTGGAAAATCGCGTTTTCCGAGATTAGCACTTCTGCACTTTCACCATCGATAAAGTGATTTAGTATTGTTTAATTAACATTTGCACAGGCGGTGATTGTGATAGTTCAGTCAGTAATTTTTTTTTTCATTAATTCCTTCACAAACATTCTCAGGTATATATGTTGCAGGCAATGAGCAATCGCCCGAAAATTGCAATCTATTCGTGTTTAATCAACAAATTATATCGTTTTAAAGTGAAAAAACGAGATTGGAAGTAGGGATTATTATGCTTTGAATTCAAACATACGTTAGTCCCTTCTTTTTGGATACATGGTGCCAGCTAGAACACTCGCGAGTTCGTGAAATGTCATCAATAATCTGTGTCAGGTTCGTTTAAGCAACTAAACTAACTCCCTGGCAAAGCGGAGAGTATCGCTGGATTTGAAGGCGTAAAGAAATATTTACTATATCGATGTTATCGTAATTACAATTCGACAAATGGACAAGTACGGAGCTTGCAAATTGTCGGCGATTGCTGACTCCCTGCGACTTACCTATACACTGATAAATATTTCACCTATTTCCATCTTTAAGTTTACGTGTACTTTTCTCTCTTCTAATCAGCACGTTTGTTTCGTTTTTGTTTCTGGTGCATCCCTCGGAATTCTTGGATTAAAAAACCGATGATCTCCCTCGACAACGCAAATCGTCAATTAAAAAATTGGGATCGTTGAATTAAACGGGACACTTGATTCACTTGACTGAATCTTTAAATTAACTGGAAACTCAAATTTACCACAAATCTTACTTAACCGAAAACCTGATCTAACCCTGCTAACCAAAACTTTACTCAACCGGTGATCTTACCCACCGGAAACTCAAATCAATCGACCAATCGCCCAGCCGAATTTTACTTAACCGGAAATCGACATGCACTGGTAAAAAAAACCTCTTGGACCAATGCCGCATTGCATTGACTTAAGAGTGCACTTTCTTGTCGCCGGATTTAAGAGTCTTGAACTCTTGTTTCAAGCGGATTTTGCATTGATTCAAGCGGATTTTGCATTGAAACAAGAGTCCAGACTCTTAAATCAGGCGATAAGAAACTGCACTCTTGAACCAAGAGGTTTTTTTTATCAGTGACCATAAACTCTGCTCGACCGGAAACGTGCTCCAATCGAAAACTTGACCCAACTGGAAATTCGATCCAACCTGAAATCTGACCCATCCCAAAATTTCAATTCACTGGAACCGTAATCCATCCGTATTTGACGTGACCGGAAATTAACCCAACTAGAAACTGTTTCCAACCGGTAACGGGAGAACGTGTCCTTGTCGAAAATTTGACTCGACTGAAAATTTGATTCGATCGGAAATCTGACCGACCGGAAACCACAATCAACGGGATTCGTTATCCACCCGAAATTTCACTTGACCGGAAATCGAAAATCTTAATTTCTACTCGACCAGAAATGTGCCCCAATCGAAAACTTGACTCAACTGGAAATCGACCCGACCGAAAATGCGTTCGAACCCAAAATTTGGTCGCTCTCGGATGGAGAATAACCAATTTCAATACCAATATATCATTGATTTTCCCTAAAAAATCGCAAAAATTCAATATAAGCGATTGATATATCGACTCGTTGACGTTAAAAATCGATTCCACAGGAAAAAATACGTAGGTGTTGGACTATTGTCGGTGTACTAGTCATTTTAGGTGCATTTAGTCATCCATAAATAAGAAATGAACACTTTCAATCTCAAAAAATCGTCGATTTTCCGTAAAGAATCTTAAAAAATCGATATAACCGATCGAAATATCGACTCGTCAACATTAAAACTCGATTTTGCGTGTAAATATACGTAGGAACCGGTGTGTATAACATGTGTAAACAACGATAACAACCCCGTAGACACATCAATTCAACAAGAAAATAGCGAAAAATAAGGCTGAAGTTTGACCCCTTTGCCCCCCCCCTCCCCCCTCGTAACTCAAAAACGGTTCCTATACTCATCTTTAAATTTTTTCCTGAGTTTTCTGTTATTATAAGCTTCCACTTAAACCTTGGTTCGATGGTCGAATCGAATACCGAAAAAGGGGCGAAATTTTGGGAGGCCCTATTCATTGATTCAAAGACAGCAGGCTAACTTTGCAGCTTAACATTGATACAGAGTGCTCTGCTTATACAGAGGAAAAATCACGTATAAATTTTACGTTTTTCTTCGACTAGTTCTCCGGAAAAAAAGTAAAGTTTGATGAGATGTCTGCAAAGTCGCCAACTGAAGTACATTGTCTCTCACTTTGGCCATCGATTTGTAAAAACTGAAGGTTTCGTGAAATTGACTCTTTGCTCAATTTGTACTCGTCTGTAGCGCTGAACACTGGGACGCGGCGCCTTGATACAACTTTTCAACCTCGACGGATGTGCGTATTGCATTAAAAAAATTGAAGGCGTTTTGATTTTCTGCGCACTAGGTGGAATTGGACCGATGGACGAACGCACGAACGCGTTGGCGACAGCGCCATGAAGCCATGATGTAACTGCTCAACGTTATCCCAAAGATTTGAAGGAGCGTTAGCTTCCATTGAGGCATTTCAGGTTAAAACACTCAAGACGAAAAAAGTTTAAAACGTCCGTAATTTTTCCTCTTTATCAGCTGTCAGCAAAAAATTTCATTATGAATTTCAGGCCATTATTTCGGCTTGTTTCTCTTCAATAAAATAAAGTCTAAGTGGAAATTTTGAAACACCGCAATGAAGATACGTGGTTTCGCATTTTGACCATGTGCGATATACGACAACCGTCAAGCCTTAATTTAAATCAAGGCGCTGTCGCCAACGAATTCGTCCAGCGTCTTAGGAACCTTTTGCACGGGGAATCAAAACGCCTTCAATTGTTTTAATGCAATACGGACATCCGTCGAGGTTGAAATGTTGTATCAAGGCGCCGTCCGGCCGTCGTCAACGCTTCACTGTGTGCAGCGCCACAGACGAGCACAAGCAGAGCGAAGCAAGTCAAAATGCCTTCAGTTTTCACAACTCGATGTCCAAAGTGAGAGACAATTTTCCTCAATTGGCGACGTTGCAGACTTCTTATCAAACTTTATTTTTTTATTTGCGACGTTGCAGACTTCCAATCAAACTTTATTTTTTCCTCAGAAAACTAGTCAACGAAGAACGTAAAACTTATGTGATTTTTCCTCTCTATTAGCAGAATATTCTGTATACATCTCAAGCTGCAAAGTTGGCTTGAATCTCTTCGAAAAAATTAAATAGGAGCGGAAATTTTGAAACACCACATTAGAGATGGGACGACGGAATGAGCAAAATGCTTGTCTTTTTTTTTTATCTTCGTGAATATTTTATATCAATTTCTATCAGTATTCTACAGATTATAGTAGTCAGTATTCTCAGGCCAATAAACCAAAGCGTAATTGAGGGGCTTGGAGGGCAAGGTACACGAGGGCAGTTTTTGAAAAAAATTACCGAAGATTTCAATGATGCCAACCAAAACTAATCTTTAAGTACGTTCTGTGAAAAATTCATTGCTAAAAGCCAATTTTTAAGCGACAAAAAGTGAGGTTGAACTTTTTTCAGTTTTGAGGCTCCTCGAAATTTTGAAACTTTGAAAAGTTTGAAAGTTCGAAAATTTTCAAACTCTTTTTCTTGAAATGGCAAAAAGTGCACTTATGCACCTTGTCCTCCAAGCCTCTCAATTGTAGGGAGGTAATGAAGATCCACGAAACAGGTAAATTAAAACTAAAACATTTTATTTTCGTTTGAATACTATGAATTCATAGCAAAATGTTTCCAGTGAAATCACAATCAGTTGGAACATTACTTACCATTATGAATGTATAATGCACTTACTACTTAGACTATTATCACAAATTGACAATTCAATTCACAAATTATGATTAAGTAATGTTCTCAAAATCAGTACGGTTTCTCAAGGTATCTGGTAGAGAGCGAAAAGACTAGAGTCTTACCTTACAATTTCAAGCATTGTTTTGTCATGGTGTGCTAGTATTTGAGATTGAGAGTCCTATGTCTCATAAACAGTATACATCAAGAAAACCCCGTGCTGATTTTTTCTTTCTGATTTTGACCATGTTTTTTTCGGTCCGTGATCATAACTCATTTTTTCATATAGACATTTGTACTTGTCGATTTTTCAATTTCAGAGGTTTATCTACGCACAACAGTTTTTGCTAGGCGCCGTGCAAGCGTTCTTTTTTTTTCAGTTTTATCATTATTTTGTTAGTGTAAGGAATTTCCTATAAAAATTAGAGTGAAAACTTCACTTTTTGACACAAAATTTTCCTAGTGAGTATTTTCATTTTGCTTACTCTGAGCTTTCCTGTACAGACGGTTTGCAAAGCTCATCGCATTCGGCATGTAATAATTTTCCTTGGGTGGCAACAAAAATGGCGAAATGGGTGAGGGGCCTCTGGGAGCTAATGGTTCGGTGAGGGCACCCTCAGGAACAGTGTTGGGAAGAAAAAATGGGGAGCTGAAAGGATCATAAGCGTCATGTTTCGAGGGTTTCTCAATCTTGCTCTCCTCGGAACTTGGTTTTTTCTCACTTGTCAAAGCAGCAGTCTCCGGGGCTTGAGCGTTTTTATCGTCAGTCTTTTTTGTGTTCAGTCTTCTGTAGCCGGATCCGAAGTTCTTTTCGAATCCGTCGTTCTCTTCGAACCCATCATCGTGAATGAAAGAAAAGTTATTCTTGAACTTCTCGAAATTATCACTAGACTCGTCACGACCCTTATCGTCCGAGGTGTAAGAGAAAGAGTAGCCTCCTTTCGATGACCCTGATTGGCTGACGGACTTGAGCGGTTTCTTCCCACGCTTGTTGTAAGTTTCGTAGCTCGGCTTCTTGATGTCGTTAACTCCACTTTTGGCCGTTAGAGGCGCTGCGGTGGGGGTTTCCTTGTCTTCCTCTTCGTCTTTGAAGTTGTACTTGGAGAAACTCTTGAACTCGTCGTCGAAGTGTCCGGCATCATCCCGACCGCCGAGTGACATGTAGTGGCTCAAAAATTGCGGCGGGGCGACCCCGGAGTCCATGATGGCCTTACGAAAATCCTCTGGGATGTGTTGTCCATGCGCATGTGAGCTAGTCAGTTTGTCCGCCTGATAGTCGACCTTCTTCTCAACTCCATCGTCACCGATGAACTTGAAAGAGCCTCTGGCGTTTCCCAGGGGATTCTCGGCGTGTCGAGATTGGCTGTCAGTGGAGTAGGTGAAAGAGTAGGAGCTTTCGGCTGGGTCATTGCCGAAATCTTCTGGTTCCAGGGGCTCTCGGTTCTTCACTCCGGGTGAATGTGGAGGAACGTATTCTGACGGACCAACCGGCAGGGGCTCTACCGGTTTCGGTAAGTGATCTCCTCTGGCGACGAAACCGATTCCAGGTCCGGCTTCGTACTCGACTCGGCGTTCGATACCATCGGGACCTACGAAAGAATAAGTACCCTGTACGTTTCCTTCAGCGTCGGATTTTTCCTTCCTTGCTTGGTCATCGAATGCGAAATCGAAAGCGTAGGATCTGTCCGCTGGCGAGTTATCATCTTCGTTGCGGCCTTCATCGCAATCTGGTCTCTGAGGGGGCAGATCGACCGGGGACTGACCGTCGATGTCTTCGGGTTCTTGACCATGAACGGGAACTTCCTCGGGAGGAAGCTCAGGTTGGTGGTAGACCGGGATTTGACCGTCGACGGGGATTCCAGGTAGTTCAGGAACGTGGATCGGTCTTTGTGGGTAGTCTGGTAAGGGGCCTTGCGGGACTAGGGGGATTTGTGGGTAGCTAGGGATTTGCGGGACCAAAGGCACGTGATGTGTTGGCACGTAAGGAACTACTGGCACTATTGGGACTACAGGGATCTGAGGTTGGACTGGGTAACTAGGCTCAAGTGGGACTTGAGGGTGGGATGGGTAACTAGGCTCAAGGGGAACTTGAGGGTCCAATGGCAATGGCTCTTGGGGTTCTTCTGGCTCTTGAGGAACTTGAGGCGGCAGTGGTCTTTGTGGGGGCAATGGACGGGGAGTCACTGGTTCCACTGGTCTTTGAGGAGGTAAAGGGCGTGGGATGTGAGGTTGGACCGGTTTTTGGGGAGGAAGAGGTAATGGGTGTTGGGGTTCAACCGGTCGCTGAGGTGGCAGTGGTAGTGGGGTTTGTGGCTCAACGGGTCTTTGAGGTGGCAATGGTCGTGGGGTGGGGGGTTGCACGGGTCTTTTCGGGGGTAATGGTAGAGGTGCTTGGGGCTCAACCGGTCTTTGCGGAGGCAGTGGTAATGGGGCTTGCGGGTTGACAGGAGCTTGGTGAGAGGGATGTCCACTGGAAGTTCGACCTTCATCTACGGCTGGAAAATCCCCTGGTTTAGGTAAGTGCTCTCCGGTGGCGACGAATCCGGTGTCAGCGCCGGCAACGTAATCTACTCGCCTGACAACACCATCCGGTCCGGTGAAGGAATAGCTACCTTGCACGTTTCCAGCAGCGTCAGATTTCGCCGAGTGCTCGTGATCTTCGGTTTTGTACGAGAAATCGTAGGAAGCATCTCCAGGCTCACTGGAGCCATCGTCACAATCAGCGGGTGCCTGCTTTGTTCCAGGCTCCGGCAGTGGCTGCTGAGGTGGCAGAGGTGTCTGAGGTGGCAAGGGTCTCTGGGGTGGCAAGGGTCTCTGAGGGGGCAACGGCTGCTGGGGTGGCAGAGGTCTCGGAGCAGGTGTTTTCGTTTTGACTCCGTATTCTGGAGTTGGCTGTGGGTAAGCAGGGGTCACCGGGGTCTTGACTGACGGGACCCTCGGAGGGGCGACTGGTGTGTGTGGCACAGTTTTGACAGAGGGTCGTGGGATGTTGACTGGTGGCTGCGCGCCCTTCGTCCTCGTCACAACTCCCTTGCCTCCAGCTGCGGAACCGGTCGGGTGAATGTCACCCGTCACGACGAAGCCTTTACCCGCGCCGGCGGTGTACTTGACCTCGCGCCTCACGCCGTCGTCTCCAATGACCCAGTAGCTCCCCTCGATATTGCCGTCCGCGTCGGACTTCTCGTTCCTTCCTGAGTCGTCGTTGGTGTAGGAGAAGTCGTAGGAGGCGTCCGCTGGTCCGTCGCTCTTTCCCTCATCGTCGCAGCCCTCGCCGGAAGGTCCAGACTTACCCTTGACGTCGGGGGTGTGTGGGGCGACGGGAGTCTTGACTCCGTAGGATGGTGTGTGAGTTGCCACCTCTGGGTATCCGGGGGTTTTGGTACCGACTGTCTTGGTCCTTGTCTCGGGGGTGTGGGAGGAGACGCTGGGCTTGGCGCCTCCCTTGATTCCGTTTTGGTTCACTGCGGGGCTTCCACTATAGTCTGGCACAGGTGGGACTGGGAGGTGATCTCCGGTGGCCACGAATCCGATGTCGGCGCCGGCCTTGTAGTCAACCCGCCGCTCGACTCCGTCGTCACCGACGAAGGTGTAGCTTCCTTCGATGTTTCCGTTCTCGTCGGATTTCTCCGAGCGAGAGTGGCCGTCGCCGGAGTATTCGAAGGCGTAGGAGGCGTTCATGGCGGGTTCGGGCACCGGCTCTGGTTCCTCGGCCTCGTTGGGTGTGAGGGGAGGCAGCGGCTTCTGGACGTCGGGTCTTGGTTGGTCGTAGCCCTTGACTTGGCGCTTGAGCTTTTGGCCCAATTGTCGCCGCCGGATTCCACGCCCGCTTCCCCGTAGACTTGGCCTCGCTGTAACAGTTAAAGTGTAACAGTTAGATTTTGACATAATTCCATTTTTACATACAACAGGGGTGCTATTCTGCCGTGCTAAGAAAGAACGCCGTATAAATATTCGAGAGTTGACAAATTTCCTTCGATAAAATGTTTATTTTCGAGGAAAGTTATGAATATTTTCCCTTGAAATCTTCATGAACTTTAGGTGAAATTGCAGACAAAATTATCTGAAAAATTTGAAAAAAAAAAAATATTCAAAATTTTACGAGTAAATTTGTGTTTTATTAATGGAAATTTGGCAACGCCTGAAGGTTCATACGGCGTTTATCCTTAGCACGGCAGTATTTGACCATATCTTGGACGAGGGAGCATATTCGTGGGGCGAATAACTTTATGGATTCTCAAGATGATTTTTTTAAAGTAATTTTAGCATTGGAAATAACTGAATTGCATTTTGCGAAAATGAATCAAGAGCATTCAAATATTGTTAAGCAGTGCAGTGCAGTTTCTCTGCTATTTTAAAAGCTGTGGCATGAATACGAAATTAGATAGAATGAAATTAAGAATACAATTAGAATAAAATTAACTATTTAAAAATCAAACGGAAATAACAGTTGTGAATAAATTCTTGCAGGGTGCAAATAGTATTGACTTTCCGCGTTGTTGGAAATTCGCCACTTTTCTATACTTTCGCTAAAGTCTCCAGCAAAAAGCTCATGTTGTTCTAACAAACTTAATGTAGAACATCAGTCTTGAAAGAGCGGTCAAATCCTTGCAGGGTGCAAAATGTATAGATTTTCCATGTTGATTTGAAATTTGCCACTTTTATATACTTTCGTTAAAGTCTCCGTGAAATTTTAGCTTATATTGATTTAACAAACATCTATAGAGCATCGTTTCTTAAAGAGCCTATCAAAAATGTGCCCCTTTTTTGGAAACGCGGGGATTTTTTTCAAATCCATCCCAACTGAAACCTTATGATGAGAGAATTCCCCAACGAAAGTTGTGGCTTGAATGCAAAGCTCGTTTTGGCAAGATAGCCCTCTAAAGTTTGGATTTTAACGATTAAAATTGCCTATATATTCGAAATTTTTCGGTTGCAAAAAACAGCTTTTATCAATCTTTTTTCTAATTTCTGGGGCAAAATTCCATCAGTTGCTGTTATTCGGGGATTGGAAGTATTGTTGATGAAAAATTCTAGCGATCATTTGAGATCCTGATTTCCTAGGGTGTCCCAGACCATCTAAGCAAGTTTGTCGGGGCGGGAAACCACTGTTTGAAAATCCAAAAGTTGCCAAGTTCCTTCTGATAAAATATTATTTTTTAGGAAAGTTTGCAGTATATTTCCTTGAAATTTTATAATCTTTAAATCAAATTGCGCGGAAAATTCTCTAAAAATTTCAAAAATAAGAGCTTACAAGTTTACCAGGAATTCCTACTTAATCGAAGGAAGTTTGAGTGTGCATCAAGTATTCATCGAGTGTTTTCCCTTGACGCTTCAGTATTGAAATGCGAGCGCACGACAGGCGCCTTAATGCAACTATTCGTGCCCTATGGACACCCGTGTTGCGTTCTAAAAATTGAAGGCGCTCCGGCCATTCTAAACTGTGAAGCGGTGCTCGCAGAGACACGTTGCTGTCATGACTCTGCGTGGCGGTGGGATATAATATGTCCTGATGCGTGAAAATGGTGCGATAATATCCGTTCCTGTCCTCTTCCCTTAGGTTTTATCAGATAATTTCATCTCGCCACATATTTGTAACGGCGCGCCACACTATCTGTTAAGGTGCAATGCTTCTTGGACCAGAGTGGCCGAAACCCCTTCCATTTTTCAATATGCAACAAGCGTGTCCATCACGTACGAATAGTTGTATCAGGAAAGTATTACACTGACAACATTGAATGCCTTGCTTATGTTGACTGAGATATCGGCATGAGAAGACTTATTCTACCCAAGAGTCGTTTAAAAAATAAAATTATTAAATGCGTCCATTGAAAAATACCAATATTTTGAAGTTCTACGGCTCAAAAAAACTTTAATCGATTAGACCAAGGTACTTTTTTCTCTTTGATAGGTAAAATATCGACGGTGTAAGTCGGCAATCACATAACTCGGTTTGCGACGTCGCAGTCTTCCTGTCACACTTTCTTTTTTACACGGAAAACTACTCAATGGCAATTCTTTTCTAACTCAACTTTTCTAGTGATTTTTCTTCTCTGTGCGAGGAAAATTCTGCAACAACTTCAAGGAATAATGTCAGTTTGTTCTCTTTTAAAAAAATAACATAGAGGCGAATATTTTCAGACACCGCAAACGAGTTATGTGATTGCCGACTTACACCGTCGATATGTAATTTTAAAGACAACCAAAAATCATCCCTACAGTTCTCCCCCCCCCCCCCCCNCTCTCCCGAATAGGAGGATGCTAATTTGAGCGGTCCATTTGGGATGAAAGTATACATTTAAAAGATATAACGTTTGAATCGAGATTCATTAAAGCACGAAGAGCAGTGATCGAAAGTGACGGAAACGCGCGCTACGAGCAGACAGTTGGACGTATTTATACTAAAAAGAACTATGTGCATAGTTTTTGCGTGTAAGTTCCTTTTAGCATAAATACTTCCAGTCGGTCTACCGAGCTAGGTAAAAATGGAGTACCTATATTGTGAGAGTATGGCCACTGGGCCCCATGGAGAGGCTTAGGACCCAAAAATGGCGGTGCTTTGTTTTGGTTTTTGTTGATGGGAGGGGGTCATTGTCAACTTTTAACGGTTTTCACCAACCGCACTTGCTACCAACCTTACTACATCTAAGATAATTTTTCTCAAAAATTGCACACGATTAGCCTTAAAAATATGTAAAGAAGTGGCCATAGTGCATTTGGGTAAATTTCTCGTTACGATAAGCAAAGAAAACTACATGTTAAGTCATTTTGCATTACATTAATTCATGGCGTCCGCCATTTTTGGGTCCTAAGGGCTCCATTCAGCCTAAGATGGCTGAGCCAATCAGAGGTGGTAACCCCAGTGGCCATACTCTCTCAATATAGGTACTCTAGGTAAAAACCGCCTATCTACTTCGGGTTTTTATTAGAGTTAGGCGGTTTGAATTATCGCGGGGGTTGTTCCATATATACAGGGTGATCCAAAAGTCCCTTCCACCCCCTCTAACTTTTTACCTAATTGAGGTAAAGATTTGAAACTTGGGGGATATTCCTAGGTCAAAGGGAGCTACTTTTTGGCCCCCCTAAAATTTTCAGGGGGGCTCCCCTTGGGGGGGCAACGGCCCCCAACTTTTAATTTTCAAATGGGAAGACCCCCTTTGTGATAGCTCGTTCGAAAGAGCATAAAAAAAGAANGGGGTGATCGGTTCAACGAACACCGAGAAAAGGTCTTCGAAGCCTCGCGCGCGTTAACCACCACCACGCGCAGTGCGGCGCGCGCAAACAGCTGTAACTCATCGACTCCTCTTCTTGTGCACCGCGGTGACCTTGGCCGTGTCGACTGTCTCTTGTGCAATGACTTGGATTTCATTGAGCACCTCTCGTTCGGAGCATCAATGGAACATCCCGAGCCGATTAGCGCGCTTCGTGCTGCCACATTTTCCCGAACCGCGTCCAGGGCTGAAAAAGAGGGCTTTCCCTCTTCCGCCGTGCTAAGGAAAAACGCCGTATGCGCCCTCAGGCGTTGCCAAATTTCCTCTGGCAAATCACAGATTTTCAGGAAAATTTTTGAATAATTTTGCGCCAATTTCTCAGATAATTTTGTTTGTGATTTGATCTGAGGTGTCTGAAAATTTCAAGGAAAAATATTCATAATTTTCCTTAAAAATGAACATTTTATCGAAGGAAATTTAGCAACTCTCGAATGTTCATACGGCGTTCTTCTCAGCACGGCAGAATGCGTTTCTACTCGCTTACTTTTTTATCCCCGCGTTCAAGTCTCTCGATCATTATAGACTCCAGCGCGTACTGCGCCGCGTATTTCGCGATATATTATATATTATATATTATATATTCGATATATTATGTATTCGTAACTTTCCTCAAAAATGAACATTTCATTAAAGGAAATTTGGCAACTCTCGAATGTTCATACGGCGTTCTTCCTTAGCACGGAAGTCTTCGTCCCAGACGAGAAGAGACCCTCAATTGAAATTTTTGCAGGCATAGACAAGTGCTTTTCAGGCTTAAATTTTTGAAGACATAGCTATTGCTGAGGGGGATGTTATCTTGCTTATCCGAAGATTGAAGGCGGAATGTGTGTAACCTCTAGGGCCGTGCCAAGGAAAAACGCTGTATGAGCCTTTAGACGTTGCAAAATTTCCTCAATTAAATCACGAATTTTAAGGGAAATCTGTTAGTGTTTTCTCTGTAATTTTCACAGAATTTTAATCAAAATTAGATCTAAATTATCTGAAAGTTTCAAGAGGAAGTATTTATGACTCTTTTTAAAAGTAAACATTTTATTGGCGGAAATTTGACAACTCTCGAATGTTCATAGGACGTTTTTCTATAACCCGGTAGTCAGAAACTCCTTCGTGTCGGCTCTACTTTCTCTAAATTTTCTCTCAGAAAAAGCGATTGAGGTATCTCATGAGAAAAACCTTTCTGTGAGTCCGCTTTTTATGCATTTTTAAAAGAATCCACCCCAGAGGTGATTCTTTAAAGACGCGAAGCGATTAGGGGCCTAATCCCTTTGTATAATTAAGGAAATTGATTCCGTAAACCAGCGTTGTAAAGCAAAACAAACTAGTAATTCTGAAAGAGTGTAATCGACATTGGATGTTCCCGCACAAGTCTGTCAACTTTTCTAAATACTTTACCGCTGATATTCACTGTTTGATAACCTATGAGTGCTAACTACTAATTAAGCCACGATTTTTTTACATTCTCAACCCGCTCATTGCGTCGTCCCTCATATTGCATCGGAATCGATGAGCCTCTATGCTGCCGTACTAAGGAAGAACGCCGTATGAGCAATCAAGAGTTGCCAAATTTCCCTCGATCAAACATG